CCTATGGCGGCGGCGCGACATCACTCTCGCCCTGAAGGGTAGAGTGTACAATGCAGCGGTACGTTCGACTCTACTGTACGGTTACGAAACCTGGCCCCTAAGATCGGCGGACATGAAGAGGCTAGTTACGTTCGACCATCGGTGCCTTCGCAGTTTGGCTCATATCTGGCGGGAACACCGCGTGAGTAACGAGCGTGTTCGACGCATTGTTTACGGCACAGGTAAAGGATCTGAACCGCTCAGCACCGTCATTTCCCGCACCAGGCTCCGATGGCTCGGCCACGTGTTACGCATGCCAGCCCACCGACTCCCTCGACGTGCGTTGTTTGCTCACCGGGGATGTGGGTGGAAGAAGAGGAGGGGTGGCCAATCGATGACTTGGTCCAGGGGAATGAAGTTTCTCACTTCGGAGCTAGCCTCGGTTGAAGCGTCACGGCTCCCTGGTTGGGGTCCAAAAGACGGTGAACACGTTTGGCTGGATACACTTCCTGACATGGCAAGGAGCCGACCTCAGTGGCGTTCATGCCGTGAGTTTCTTTGTCCCTCCCCATCCCTTTTAGCCTCCCCTCCATCTACGATCTCATTTCGTAGGGTAAAACAATAAATTTTTCTTTTTTGCCTAGTAGCTGACTGGTAGCTTACCGGAACGATGCCTATGCATTGCTGGTAGCTCAGGTGGCATGTAACTGTCGTATTTATTTTTCCTTTGTGTATTGTATTCTATGTGTGTATGTATGTATTTCCTTCATGTATTGCGGCACAATAGCGGAGGTGTTTTCCCACCTCTAGCTGACGTGTATAATGATGATGATGAAGACATGGTGGTCTGAGCGTGCTTTAGAGATGGAGAACGCTGCTATCTCTGGCAACACTCGCAACCTTTCTCAACTCATTCGCTCCACTGGCTTCAGGAAGCCTGGTGCAATTGAGGCGGATGAGTCGCCAAACACCAACCAACAGAGGCGTTCGGACCGCGGGGCTGAGCACTTTCACTCGCAATTTAACCGGTCTTCACCGTTTATCAGTACATGCAGCACACCGTGTTGTCCACCCTGGCTCATACTGAATAGGCTGCGCTGACTTGGGCACGTACTAGGTACGCCCGGTCACTGCTTACCTAGGAAGGTTTTGTTTAGTCTGTCAGATGTGGGGTAGCGCTAGGCTCGAGGTGGACAAAAGTTAAGTTGGCAGTGGGAAATGAAGTCATTGACGACCAAACTCAGTGCCGTTGGTCCGTCTCTCCTTCCAAGCTGGAGTCCACGTGACTCGCCTTGTGCTTAGCTCTAGAGTTTACAGGGCATGGCTCGCAGTCGACCCCAGTGGCGTGTCTGCTGTTGTCTCTTTGTCGGAATGCCTCTAAAATGTCTTTGACGCTGTTCCCTGCGGGGTAAAACCTGATTATGACGCGAGACAGTGTAAGCCGCAAGGAAGCAGTTTCGCCGATGACGCCTTATCTTTGTACGGTATTCAGCTGTTTGTGACGGTATGCCGTTGACAAGATGTAAGCGCCTTGAACTGGAATGTCTCCTTAGATCATTAATAATATTTCCACAAGTACCTCTCTTCCTCTTATTATTCTTCGTTCGTAGGTCACCAAGGTTGTGACAGCGAAGCATCTGATGAAATGGCTGACATACTGCTGTTGTTGATAATGATAGTGAGGTCTCCTGTTGCCTGTTTCCCGTATCAGACAGAATAAGTTACAATGGTTACTAATGGCAGCGGCAGTTTCCATCTCCGATGCATGATGAGAACACCAGATTTCGCGGTCTATATTTAAGCTAGAACACAGTTTTGTCCCGAGATTTTTGCGAGTTTTATTACGTTCGCTTCCAGCCGGAACATGTCGGCGAGCATCCTGAAGTTCCAGAGACTGTATAGAGACCTAATGTTTTGGTTAGCAACTGGATTTGCCACATGAAGACACGCCTGCTGCTGATAATGTCTGGCGAGTATGCGACCAGTGAGCTTCAACGGTGCTCAGTGAGCGCTTACTCAGCCCGGATGCCAGCGTACTTTGATACGCATACAAAACATCCGACCTCACCAGTTGATTGGTGTCTATGCGCAAACAGCGAGGTTGCAGACGTCCGCGGAAACACATCCGATGATCCGCACACACAAGAGCGTGATCGGAGTCCACGCTAGTGCTCCAAATCGAGCGACAGTTTTGGACGCAGCCTCTCCAGCGGTATCTGATCGCGATGTGATCGATTTGCGTCCATGGCTGGTGGGCGCTAAGTCGCTCTCCCGCGGGCGCTGTGTCGAAAATTAGTGCTCACGAGAGACGAGCATCGTCACACAGGTGTAACGCCCGCTAACCGTTATCATTACGAGAGCCTGCACCATGTTGGCCGCCCAGATGCAGCTCATCAGGTGACAATTTTCCGACTTTGGCGTTCAGATCATCAGCAAGCACCACGGTATCCGTCGTTTCTCTGTAACGGAGGAGCGCGTGCAGTTAGTGAGAGAATTTATCTTTCAAGGAACGAGTGCTGCAGGTTGTGGGCGGGAGTCGGTGAACGATTACTCAGTTGGTACGGCTTTCGTGTGGTTGGTTACCAAACAAGGACCCAATCTGACCCATAATTTCAACATCAGACTACTGTCATACAATGTTCCAGCAGAGTGAAGCAAGGAACAGTGAGTTTATTTAGTAACGAGTCGCATCAGCCAGGTTACAAAAGGTTGTCTAACAGACACGTCAAGAGAGCAGTTGCGAATAAAGTTCGTTTCGATAAATCTCGTCAGGCGAGTACACTTAAGAAGCAGATAATCAGAACTTACAAGAAGCTATTACTAAGTATGCACAAGTATAAGGATTTCAGACGATAGGCGCCTAAGTATACCAAGTAATAGCAGACTCGAACAAATCCCGATGGATCGGTGGCCAGAGTAGAATTAACGCTTGCAGGAGTGCTCTCTGTTTACACAATGCCGGTTGTAAGTCTCTGATAGCAAGGGCTTCAACTATAGCCAGACAGCGGCTTTCGAGATCTTTTGAGCATCGCTTCGGGGCAACAAGGAGAACCTTAAATGAGTCTTTAATCCGGCATTGATGTCCAGTGTTGAGCAGGTATTCACAGCTAGAAAAATGAACACCTAACTGGATTCCGTGCTGTAAGGAAGCAAAGTAATGCTGTGTTACACGTTCTGATAGACGCCAGATGGCGTGCCCGATGTAACTGGGATGACAGATGCAGGTGAACTGATATAGTACAAAGGATTCGGAGTCAACCGGTAGTCTATCTTTGTGATGTGGCATGGTGAGGGGAGATGTTTCGGCAACAACATGGACTCGAGCAGCCGGACACGTCTTGTTCAGCGTAGAAGATAGTCTTCTGGTAAGTAGGTTGAAGGGATATCCCCTCTGAAGAAAACTGACAGAGGTCCTTTCTACTGGCTGTGAGCAAAGATTCAGGGTCCTGACTACGGAGTGTTTCTTGATAAACGCGATAGGGTAACCATTGATATGTACAGTCCTATGAATGAAGAGTTTCTAATGCTAGTGTTTCTGGGCTACAAATTTTTGTTACCCGATAGTACAAACAACGCACAAAATTCCTTTTATAATTCACAGGAACGAAGCTGAGAGAATGGGTATATTGGCTAACTGAAGTTTTTTCCGTATACCCTTCTATCAAGCCACCCATCGTTACGTCGTCGTAACAGAACGATTAGAAAAGTCAATGCACCGCCGTTCTCCGTCTCGCAAGTGAAGTTCAATGATGAGTGCGCACGGTTAAACTTGTTCAATAGGTGAAAAGGATTGAAATTGCAGTTACAAACGATAAACGTGTCTATGTATCCCAAGATCTACTGGAAATAGTTGAGGCAATCTCACATGCGCCCCACCAGTAAGCATTAAAAACCACATGCGTAAAACTTGTTGGAAGAGATGCAGTCAAATGTTCCTGAGTTAGAAAGACTTTGTTCAGGCTATTATTTAGCCGTGGAAGACCTCAACTCCGAGGAAAGAGACTCATTTCCTGCATGATATGTACAGTAAAGCTGACGAACGAAAGTATGCTAAACTATTGAAAAGTTTGAAACGGAATATACCCGAAGCGAAATTTCCTTTATACCCAGAACGATACGTACGCAATTTTTCCAGGGTGTACTTAGACAAATTGCAAATGGAAGCTATCGCTGGGTACAAAATTTGTGAATCATGAAGGAGCTGCATGTAGAGGTCCATGTTGAAAATTTGCTGCATCAGCTAACTGATTTGAAACCTACCTCTTCCGTCGTCTACGACACGTTAGTAAAGAGTGATTTAACGTCAAAGGAGAGTATCATTTTCGCCTTCACATTCAACTTTTTTACTCACTCAAAAATTCAAACGTATCCATCACAATGTGGGCAGACGATTTCTTGTGGAGTGGTTAGCATAGTCCAACGCGCTTTTTTGCCACCGCGTGTACGGCGGAGCCAGACATGTCGATAATCGGATGTAGTGGAGTGGTCCTCATGAGCAAAAAGTTTACCAGGCGAGAACGCACCACTTCCTGAAACACTGTCGCCGGATAATGCGCTGGAGCGGGATAAACCCGGACGACACAGCTGGTATCATGTGAAGGTTGTTTGGTGACCCAGAGTGAGAAAGGTCTTGAAACGTCCTAGATCCTGATGTATTGCATAATGCACTATAAAAGTCTGTGATCGGCCGCGTGGTACAATCTGAGGTGTGCACAAAATGCGTTGATTGCAGGCAACAAAGAATGGTTGCTAGTTTCATGCATGAAATGAAATGTGTCAGCTTATACGCCGTAACGGCGTTTCGCTGCCGCGCGACCACCACCAGTCGCGCGCGGGCTGAGTATACCGCGAGGACGCCCACCCCTACGCGCATGTGTGTTTGCAAATGATGAGAGCAAAGAGGATGGTGGATCGTAACCATCACTGTATAGGGAGATAAGCGATTAGGCCCTTCACATTATGCCTACCAGAGTTCAAATGAGAAAAAGCAGAAAAAGTGCTAGTAACAAATGCCGACTTACTTGTCCCATAAGCGACGAGCATAAGCGGGCAGATAGGCATTTGTACAGTTGGGCCTGAACTTCGGGCTCAAAGTTGACCAGCTCACAATAGCCTCCGCGCAGCCCGCATCTGCAGAACAATTGGAAGCCAAGGATGGCGCAAAACAGATATTGAGCATGAGTGGTGGAGTAGAACATGTACGTCGAAAATGCAGCAGAAACAAGGTAGCGGCCAGGCGTAATGAGTGAAAACTGGCTAAACCCTCAGTCGACTTAAGTAAGTATACCGAAGGCTGGAGCTAAGATGCAGAATTGCCCCGGTACGGGTGAATACCTAGAGCTATTGGAAGCGGCTGTTCGAGGAAGTTGTGTCTGTGGCATGCATGTGCAAAAGTGAATGCTTACAGGGAGGAAGAGCGTTGCACGTTGAATTATGAGCTCCTCTGCAAGTGATGACATGCGAAATCTCTCATGTCGAGTAAGTTTCTCTGCTGTGATCCTTTTTACATGAAAAACCACTGGTAGCCTATGGAAATTCCATACCAGAACTGCATGTTAGGCACTGGGCGGGGCCTTTAAATAGGCCGCCGGTTATCGTTTTTACAATATCGCTATGTATACATTAGTTGTTTCGGAACAGTGCAACACTGCCCCTTTTCAAACTATTGCTAAGATCACCACCGTCATCCTTTGCTTACTTTTTGAGAAAAACTCGAGATACTGCGCACTTGAAGATGGACCGACCCGATTGGAAATCTAGCTTGCAGCGCTGGTTTATCAAGAGAATGCAGCTTCAAAGTATTCTGTCCAGAAATGTTTTATTGTCGCTCGTTTATACCGACCGCTTATTCAAGTGACATGCCTACAAAGTGTCCTTTTCCATTCATACAGATTTTCAGTTTCGATAATGTAATTTTAGCCCATCTGTAGTCTATATTGTAAAGTGCTGAAAATGTACCGGTCTGGATACATAAAACTCCTTTTGACTTGACTTAATTGTGACTTCATAGAGCAGACAAAGTGTTATGCCTACTGGTTCAAAAAAGTGACTGACTCACAGGCACGAAATCACCCGATCAGACGCGAGCAAGTCTTAGAAAGAGCGGTGGGGATAACTTGTACAATCACACTTACTAAACTGACCGTTGGTGAGATGACCAGCGCAGCGCAACGTAACGCAGATGCTCCATCACCTATCAATGGTGTCAAACCCAAGTGCATTGGCCTAGTAGTCACAAAAACTTTCCAAGTTGAATGTTGCAGGCAACCGATCGAAGAGACGCATTCAACACTATGGGAAACGTAAAACATTCTTGCATCGATGTTTGAGCCGGTATTGTGCAAACTGCAAACAGAAATTCTGTACCAGTACGTACGCGCAACACTGCACATTCAACGATGGATTCGCAATTGATCAGTATTGCCAGTTTACACATTCAGATGGATAGTCGTTTTAGGGGATAACCTATGTGTTATATCTGCAGTTGACGGGACCTAGAGACGTCAACGAATGATACGGTACATTGACCAACCGCCAACTAAACACGACGCGGGAAAAACAGTTAACGATGAAGAGTGAGAAAGTAGGGTGTGTCAGACAGGTCCCGGCGCGTGATGGGCGGTTTCAACCAGATGGGTCACAAATAAGTTAATGCGGATAAGTATATTTCATGGCCGATGACATGCGGTAGCGTTGAATGTGTTGGCACAAGATCGACTGTTACATCATTATACGACATGCAATACGGATAGCAGACAAGCCGTCATCATCAAATGTGCCACCCCATAATGATAGCAGCTCGGGAGTGTGGAGTATGGTAAGGGGTCGGCCACCGAGAATACAATGGGTGTATATAGTTCGATTACAGAGAGGAGCATCTGTGTTCTTCACTTACTCGCCCATGTAACCCTTGCTGCAAGACATAAAGGAAGCCAGTTGAACTTCTTTGGCGATCTTCCCGCCCATATCGTGTAAAGCCCGTTTGAAAGATACAAACTGGCGGTCGTCGGTGTAGATGTTATGCTGGTAGACCTCATCCGCCAGAACAACAAGACTGTGTCGATGGGCAAATTCCAAGACCCGGTTGATAGTGGGAACACTGAGTAGCTGGCCTGTTGGGTTACCTGGATTGATCACGACCAGCGCACGTGGTACACATTTCCCTCGATTTTCTTCCAACACTTTTTCCATTTGATCCACATTCAAACTCCAACCGTCAGACTCGTCAAGGTAATAGCCAATCTACCATGGCAGAGAGAGTGAAGACATATGACCCGAGAGACAACAAGTGGTTTCGCATTGAGCGGAAAGTCAAGATGCTCTGAAATCACACAGCGCCAATCGAAAATATAGCATGACAATATGAAAGACGTGGGCTGTGGTGCGATTGTAGCAGCACTGATTGGTCCCAGAATAAACAAATGATACAAGCTCTCGTAGCAAGAAGGAGGATAACACAGTGCTCGCCTAATCAGTTTGAGCATGTGTGTTGTTGAATAACCAATACTGCTAGGGCGAATGCCGTACGATTCAAATGTCCCCGCGTCTTGACCATGCTAAGTTGAGCGGATTTAGTCACAATGGAGACAACCGTTGTAACTCGGGTAACGCATCAAGAAGAGAATGATTGAAAAACACCGATATTCACGAGGGAATTCCCTTATCGATACCAGTAGCAGAACGATCAATCGAGGTTAAACGTGGTCTCCAAACAAAGGCTCGGTGTCGAAATGACAAAATACCCTGCTGATGTGGAGAGGGGACTAGAATGTCAATTCAGTCCGTATGTCCATACAATATTTACAGCGTTCGCCACTAAACATTTAAAAAATAAAAAATACGTGACCAAAGGCGGATGCAATAGCAATGCACGAAAAATGATGAGGTTGTTCGTTTCGATCAGAAAATTCGATACAACTAGCTCGGCAAAACAAGTACTAAGCGCGATTCGAGCATAGAGTAGATAGCAGTAGATTGTTCGGTTGCCGAGTGCCGGAACACCTGGGCATTCATGTTGCCAGAATAGGGCATGCCATACGTTCTCCTAGCGTTACGGATATGGGGCGACACCCGGTGACGATGGAGTTCACAATCAACAGTTTCAGAGTTGCAGTCAACGGAAACGTGCACCGAAACAATGGGAAGGCATCGCATGTTCTGCTGACGGAGGGGCGAACCTGAGCTGTGAATACGCGGCTATCCGTACGGATCCATTCGACAAGGTTGGCTTTCCGAATTGCGTATTTTTGATGTTCGCTGGTTGGTTGGTTCGGAGTTATCCCATTCCAGCACATGGTTCGGCAACAGTGTACCAGGACGTGTTGGGTCATCACCTGGTAAGCGTCCTCCCACAGTAAAACCACATGCCTGTTTGACAACACTGTGAAATGGCAGATTTCACCGCCACTATTTAGTCACTGCCCCTTGTCTCACCTTGGTGAGGTATTGCACCCAAAAGATGAAGCGTGGTGTACTGAGTCCCAGTTTGGCAATTCACCAAATAAAAAAGTACGCACTGAAATGTCAGCCACCGGCTCCCAGTGGGGGCGACTACATGATTTCGTTCCGCTGTTTTGGAGGCAGGATAATCAGCCAAAAGCAAGGGGTGGTGTCCCCTAAGTCAACTGTCTACTTCTGCTAGCGTAACCGGGCAATGTTCAGTCATCTGAAGCAACCATGAAGTTTTCAGTGTTGCGCTCGGTTTTCTTTCAGGGACAGTTGTTTACCTATGATTTCTATGCTTTTGACGAATCCATATCGATTTGTCAAAAGCATAGAAATCATAGGTAAACAGCTGTCCCTGAAAGCATGGATTGATGCTACGTACATCATGCATCTTCACCGCAGTTGAGCTACACAGATCCATACTTAAACTAGACCTTCTTAACCTGGATAAAAGTATTCCATTTGATTTGCTTTGCTCAGTTCTGTCATTCTGCTGCATATCCCATGCCAACTTTACGTGTTTATTTTCCTTCAAATGATGTATTGGTTGTTTGATATCCCCATGTGGCTGCGTTTGATGTGCATGTTGACAAGGTCCCGGACCTTTATAACATCTACCTCTTCGATTACTGGCTCCAGGAGACTGCTACTCGTTGCTGGGGGGACTGGGTACACGGTCCTCGTAGCTGTGCTAGGCTGAAAGAGTGGTTCCATCCAGTGTGGAGCGGACAACGACCCAGCCACGGCCTTTGGTATGTCTGATAGGCACGATTCCCAAATTAGACAGACAGGAATGCTGCTGCTGCTGTGCATGTTGGGGTAGTATGGGCCGGCTCCGTTGATGAAACGTGGCCCCAATCGACAAGCCTCATTATTCCTTGAGGGTTTACATTGGATAAGTGGTGTGCGGATAGAGCTGTGGGTGTTGCAGCGTGAGCCATTCATCGTCCATTTGTAGGTGCAGGTGTTCTGTGGCTGTCCTATGGAGGTCACATTGAAAGGCAGATCCTGAACCGGATGCCGCCAACCAAGCACAGGAGGACGATATGGGAGTGGATGAGATTGGTCAACGCACATTTTGTATGTTGGAACGAAGTCACTTTCCAGGGTACACTTTTAATGCTGAATTGAACTGAAATTCATTTTATGCTCTAGCAGCTCTAGTTTTGAACATACAGCCTAACCCTCCCATTTACAACAATTAGCACGCCACTAACGTGAATGACATAAATCCAAGAAGTAACAGGCCATATAACAATATGTATAACAGCGTATATATATATATATGTGTGTGTGTGTGTGTGTGTGTGTGTGTTTAACAACAGTGACGTGGCAGGTGGGACTCGTCACTGACAAAAGTCAATGCCTCCTGCCTTTCCAGAGGATATTACCCCATTCGCGAAAGTCAGGCACTTCGAAGATGTCATTTGATCGCTTCCTATGCCGGCGAATTCACCGAACAAACCCACATGTTCAGAATAACGGCAACAAATGCACACAACACGATTGCTTGGCGGCATCCGGTTTCGGATTTGTCTGTCACTGCGACCAGCCACAGGACGCCTGCGCCTACAGAGGGACCATGGGTGGCTTGCGCTGCACCACCCACAGCTCCATCCACACACACCATATCCAGTGTAAATCCGAAGGAATAAGACCGGGAGGCATGCGGATGGGAACCACGTTTCATCAACGGAGCTGGCCCACACTCCTTCACAGACAAACACAAGCACGCTGTATTTGGGAATCAAGCGCACACAAGGCGGTGGCTGGACCGTAGCCCGCTCCACACTCAGTGCATGGAACCACTCTTCGAGCCTAGCACGACTACAAGGACCGTGCACCCCGTCCCCTCCAGCAACGACCAACTGTCTCTTGGAGCCAGTATGAACGAGCTAGCGAGTAATAGGCATCTTGTCAACATGCACATCAAGCGCAGCCACATCGGGGATGTCAAACAACAGGCAATCATTTGAAATGACATTATAAAATGAAATATATCTGTTAAGGCATACAGCTATGTCGACGTAACTTTTCGCTAAATTAGCATATGTAGTAAGATGGTTAGCAAGATACCCAGAAAATGCTACAAACGTAATAAAGTTAACGAAGATAACCACAAGTGGCGTAAGCAACGTATGCAAGTTAACAGCAGATTATTCGAGTAAACAGAACAAACCAAATAAAAGGGGGTGACATTTATCCAGCTTAAAAGGTCCTAGTTTAAGGGTGTGCTGGTTTAGCCAACATGATTACTTATACACATACATACATGCATAAAACATAAATCCAGTAGGTATTAGTTAACTTGTAACATTTGTGTACAAGTACCGAGCATACGCGTTTGTATTATTATAGTCCGGCCTTTTTAGGCGTGTCTTGCACCGTCGAGAATAAAACATCCGCGTACATTTCGCACCTTTACTGCAGCAACTTTAATATCAATGTTGAGGTGTTAGTTAGTAAAATCAGTGAAATGAATGAGTTATGTAACATCTCAAAACTGGAGCTGATGCAAATAAACAGACGTGATATTTAGAATCAGTGCACCAAAGGGTAAGGTATCTTAATACCCGATGCGATGTACCAATAGTTCGACTTTTCGCATAGCTTATTCCGGTTGGTCAGTTCAAGTACACAAACGATAGCTTAGTTTAAGGCCAATAATTGACCTATTTAAGAGTATGTGCAGCTCACAGAAGACGAACTAGGGAGACTCCTGGTCTCGTCGCGATACGACGGCGATGCACTTAGTGGCATACCGTTAAGTGGGGATGGCTGCGAAGATCATGCGTCCAGCATACTTATGTGCACTGGATCACACTGTGCGGCGCGGGAAGTTCACGATATAATAGTGAGCGCAAACAACCCATATGTGAGGATCCTCCCGACTGATACAACACATGTCACGTGAGCTCTGGTAATATAGGCTATCGTACACAAATACCCTGTAGGTCCATCTAGTCGTAAACAGAACGGTATTGGTATCCTGAAGCCATTTAGAAACGCTATTAGCTGTGGAGAGGATCAAAAAGTTTAATAAAAATGCTCGAAATGGATTGCAAGGCAAATATGAGTACAGACTTCAGCAAAAAAGCTGGATGTTCAAGTCTTGACCATCACTCATTAGATCCAGATGTCACAATCGCCATCTAAGTAGTGACGACTAGGGCTTATCAAGGAAGTTGTTGCCGTAAGTGCAGGAGCAGTTGGTAGCGCTTTCAGTTCAAGAAACCCGTTTCCAAGATTATTTGATGTAACTGGGAGTAACCCACGTTACTATGTCGGTGAAGAAGTATTTGCCAAGTTTCGGGGGGAGCGGTAAAGCATTTTCGGATGTATGGGCCACCTAAAGAAAACTGAACAATTTCCATGTTCCTTAGCGTACTCTCAAATGCTTGCGGTAGTCAGTGTTTGGTGCTTCAGAGCTATAGAGAAAGAGCGACACAACTGCACTGGAGGTTACAGATGAGGTCGACAGTTAGATTTAGAGAAGTAAAACCGAATGGAGCAAGGTTAAAGCTCACAGAGAAAAGATTTAAGAAGGCGATACAACACCACAAACGGCTAGAAATGTCGGCCACCCATACGGATATGGCCCTCAAACATACGGAAAACAAGACGTATTTATCTCAGAAGCCAGGAAAGTGCTGCGGACTTTCTTCCGCATAAAGCTAGCCCAAGAGAAATATTTCGAATGTAAGAAAAATAAACTGCAAACAAGGTGCTCTTTTATAAACACTTGACATCGGTAACCAAAACAAGCGGACAGACTCACTTGATGCGCATTATACTCCGCGTTGGTAGCCGAGTAAAGTGGATACTGAGGTATAGGGACCATTATACCAGCCCTTTCATTCCCACTTCGTCCAGTGGACACAAGCTGCAGTATATACTTTAAAGTGAAAAAAACACATTTAGTACAATCAGGCACATAAAGGGTTCGATAAACTTATCATAGTTGCTAGGAACAAGGCTAGATAATAACAGAAAAGGAAGTAGATTGCAATGTGTATGATTCATGGCACTTCAACCCCAAGAAACGAACAATGGAACAAAGAAAGGGAGAGTGAAGCAGAGCCAAGCAGAAGCTGGCACAACGGCCTGACGTTCCCAAGCTGTTACGCATAATCATTACCATTATCATCGACAGTAGTACATGGGTGAATTGAACAGATACCACACTGTCATGCAACCATGAATATCTAGACTAGGACTTAACAAGAGGATGAGACGATGGATCTACAGAATAGCCGCATGGTCCGACCAGTACCTGCATTTTTCCAGCTTTCCACCAATGCGGTACAAACGGACGTTGGTAAAGACCTTATTTAGTCGTGCCACACGAATATGTCCAACCGATTGCCTGGCCGACAAAATGGAACTGATTACTAGTACACTAATTGCAAAGAGCCAACCTCGTAGGTTTATCGAAAAGCATAGTTAAACCAGCCGAACTAAAGAGCCAGTGCGAACCGTGTGTAAAAAGAACATATTCTTAGAGTTCCCATTTAAGAGTGACATTGCCACAAGGAGACGACTAACCGCGGCTGCTAAAGTAAACATTATCGACCGAACCCACAAGTTACCGCCGCATCCACTGTAGCGAACTCAGCTTATCGGGGCCAACTCCCACTGTGTACCAATTCGTAGATAACTTCGGAGCTAGTTACACAGGGAGAACTGATAGGACCTTCAGTACCGGATGAAGGAGCACGTTCCGAAGTGCCTCCAACACGAGCTGGCTTGACAGGTATGCCCAGCTCAGACTACGCATTCACACAGGCCGCCAGCATTTTCGATCGGCAGGCACTTATCGATCTCAGGTCACCCGATAGAGGTCAGCAAATCGTTCAAAGTTATGCTGAGGTATGCCAATTCCCCTCTTCGTTTCGCTGAGGCTGTTGCGATAAACAGGAGCTTTGTGTTCAAAAGCAACTATCGGTCAGTTCCAGTTTGCCTTGGACACAGGAAGGTGATTCTCATGGTTCTTTTTGTTTACTTGCAAGTTTGCATCACTTGAGTTGTAGTTGACTTCCAGTTATCGTTTTCGACACTGAAGAGATGATATGAAATGCAGGCACCTGCCTATCTTCGTCTTCTCACTGTGATTTTAAAATCGAAATGACGTGAGAGGTTCCGGGGTAAGGCGAAACACCTTGCCGACAACATACGTACGCAAGTATCAGGATATGATGTGTAAGGTTGAACAGTTGGGTCTGAGCTTGGCCCGTAACATGGCGCAGAAGGTTGCTCGGATAAAAAGATCGTGGAGATCTACGAAGCTTAAAAGTAAGAGGCAGTGTAATTGAGTTGCGAAAACTCCGTAACTGCTTAATACATATGCGAATCGGAACACAGGCCTGGTAGAGCGACTATACAATCTAATCACTCTTCTCTGTGTTACAGTCGATAAACATAATCGAAAGAATAGTTCGTCGACTTAGTCTCAAGCAATACCGCAAAACGTGTTGGACAGAGCTGTCTACCTACTTCAACAAAAAGGGCTCAGAAATGAGTGAAAAACGAGTGGCGATGAAGAAGTGTTGCGAAAATTCTTTGGTGAGCTTACGTACCTTGACAGCTTCACTAGCACCGGTTGACAGAAATATATCATGCTCATTAGCCGGAATGCCATCACGCTTTTCTATATACCGTGCCGCATCTTGGCGAACTACCTGCACACCTGTGGATTGACTGTAAACACCTGAAAATGACCGACAGGTGGAACAGATTGAAGACATGGCCCGCAACCGAAATCAGTGGAAGAATTGTGTGCAGAATTGTATTGATTCACATGTTTAGTACGACCAACATTGGAAATGACAAAAAAGAGAAAAAGTGGCATGTGCAAAACAAACTAAAAATGATTTGTTCTACTTTTGTCAAAACGTTCCTTTTTTCCTGCGGCATAGTAGCTGAAGTGTGTTATTCACCTTCAACTAGTATGCCACGATGATTTTGATGCAGTGACTTCCCCTTATCTGCTAATCTCCATGGATTTGTTGGCTTTATGTGTAGTTGCTAGACTGTTGATATTAAATACATACATAAGATTAAGGGGCTTCGAAGTTTAGTGACAGTATGATGAAGATGAATTCAGACGTGCGTCTATCTAAACAAAGCCTAGAACTGTGCGCAAACTAGAACGGGTGACACGGTAAAGCTAAGTGAAAAATTTATGAGGGACACAAAGCGATCGCTTCCAGACCTAGCTACCAATTAGGCTTCGGTGTTAACAAGATAGTGGGAGTGGCGTGTTGCTCGAAACGTGGCCTACATCCATGCACTTAGTCAAGCACGTCACCGATATTGTTTACGCATAGACTACAACCTAGCTTTCACCTCGGGGTGTTAAGCAACTAAAAGCCAGGTTCCATGGATAGAATGTCGTGCTAGCAGAAAAAATTCAAGGGTGAACAAAAACAGCTGCAAGTTCATTGCATTTGAACAGCTGTGATCCGAGCACCGACGTGCGATGGATCGAAAGAATAGCAATACGTAATAACGCCAAGAAAGTGGGATCGAATGCAAATAGAATGTAAAGAAAATGGAACCAAGGAAGTGCATTAAATTAATAAAAATGGAACAAAAATTAGCAACCAGATGGAAGAAACCGAATGCAGGAACGCCACTCACTGCGTGACTGCATCATGTCTGATACGGTACCCAACCATTGGCGTGGACTATCCCGAGGCCCTCATCGAGGAAGACGAAACGCACCATTCTGCTCAACTCTCTGTCAGTTTTTTCAGGCTTCTATGCCACGTCATGGACTGGCAACCTCGAGGTTTCGCCCAATTTAGTGAAGCCAGGGCGTAAAATGCACTCCGAGGAAGCCGAACAACCAGCATGCGGAAGACATGGGCTAGTTAACATAAGTGATTAAGAGTCAGGAAACACTCGAGTGATGAACCAGAAGAGTTCCTCAGAAAAATTAAATGCCGGACCTCAGCATTGCTAACCCGGTGATCCCACCAGACGTGGGCAATATTCCGCGAGTACCGGTGGTCAAACACAGTCCAGCGTTTAATATCCTTGCTGCGAACTGACCAACTCTGATCTATCCAGTAAAACTGGGCTAACCGTAGCATTAAACATTTTATCTTTCACTGACAAGCTGATATCCCGCAGTCTCAATAAATGGTTGAATCTCCGAAAAACCACGCGGGCGTTGCTGATATATGAAGTAGTTTTCTTAGTGATGTCAGCACTAGAGGTGACACAACGCCAAGGAAAGTGAACCGGTTCACCACTTTCAGTGGCTGTTCCGTGATAGCTAGAACCGGAGGTGTGTCGATCCAGTCCTAGAACAATATTTTGCACTTTGACAGTGTAAAGCACATGCTGAAGCGTGCAGCGCTACGTGTCAGTCCGTCAAGTGGTGTTTGCATAGCCACTGCGTCCGACCCAAGAAGAGCTATGTCGTCCGCATACTCCAGGTGCGTCAGTCGGTCACCTGGCAAAACTTCCACCCCGGTAGAGTCTGAAAGAATGGAGTCACTCATGATTATTTCTATAACAAAATCGAAAAGAAAAGGAGATATAGGACGATCCTGGTGAATCTCACTTGTCGTAAGAAACTCAGGAGGCAGGATAACTGCAAACACCAAGTTAACACAAAAGACAGAGGAAGAACAAGAGGAAAACATGGTTAACCACCAAATGTTAGTAGCTTGAAGTTGTGTGTATGAACGCCCCTTAGTTGGCGGTTCAGCTAGCCTGACGAAAACGTGTGACCAATCTGGCCCGACTCATTAATCTAACCTTACCGAGTGGACAAAATGATGCATTAGCTAACCAAACGCGTCAACGGCAAACAACGCATGTCGGAGTGGATGGTGAGCCGATGTGCGAAGAACATGGTCTACCGAAGGTACCCGGCTTGTGGTCAAACGACATTACGGTGAGGTTCCGCAATGTTACTTGTCAAACACCAGCCAATGTAAATCAGCATCAATCGATCAATGCTCACACCGGATATGGACAATACATCAAAGGGGTTGGCTGTCAAACAGTCAACCTCTTAATAACCTCAGAGTCCAAGTCAAGTCGAGTCAAAATAACCTTTATGAACACAAATAGGTTCATTTTCAGCATTTACACCACCATTGCGGGCACCCGGATGATAATATTAACATACATGCTTGGGTAGAAAAGTGAAAAAAGCAAAACCGTTACTCCAACAAGTGTTCGCGCAGCATGTTAGCAACTTTTGCTGTCAACAAGCAAACGTGAGAGATAAGGCAAAACAGTATTATGATAATCACTCTTCGAGCCTAGCACGACCACAAGGACCGTGCACCCCGTCCCCTCCAGGAACGACCAACTATCTCCTGTAGCCAGATGGACGAGGTAGTGGGTAATAGACAGGTAGGCACCTTGTCAACATGCACAGCAAGCGCTGCCACACCTGGGATGTCAAACGACAGCAAATCACTCGAAATGCCGATGTCGAATAAACGCATATGAAGACATAAATACTCGTTAAATAAGCATATGGAAGAAATTGGTCATAAGTGAATCCGCGATAAGTACAAAATGTCCGAAAGTCATTCAAAAAATACCACTTGATACAATTACGCAAGTTTACCACAATTAGCATGAGCGACGTGTGCAAGTTAGGAGAAGGTTATCAGGTACGCAGAACAAACTAAATAAAGTGGAATGAATTTTATCCACATTAAAAAGACCTAGTTTATGTGTAAGTTGGTTTCGCCCAACTGCGGTGAAGGAGCATCATGAATGCAACATCAGCCTCGGCATGGGGCACACATACATACATGGTTGGCAGCATCCGGTTTAGGATTGGCCTGTCACTGTGGTTAGCCACAGACATCATACTAGCTCTCTAACACCCTAGTTGACATTTGTCTGGATTGAAACAATCTCCAGGCCATTTCCTTTGTAACTTGGCTAAATGTGCAGCCTCGAGATCGATTGCGTTATGACATTTTCCAGGGACAGGGTCTCTTGGCTGTATCTCCACTGCTCTTGGTTGTGGGCGGTCGTTTCGCGCTCATCACGGCCTCCCGCCTCGGGAATACCGTGTACAAGTATGGTCCTTGCCACGGATTCCTTTCGGTGTTCTTCCAAGTCGTGTTTCGCCTGTTAGCGTTCGCTCCACGGAATATCTGGAAAAATGCGGATGGAAAATGACCCATTCCGAAGGCGTAGTGTCGATAACAGGATAGCTTCTGCTGCACCAGCGGAAGTCAATAAAACACGGAGAGTTCTCGGTTCATCATAGTGCTGTGAGATTGGGTGCCGAGTGATCCGTGTCAATTTGGCGGAATTAACTACAACACCCATGATGTCCCATATGGAGTTCCACTGGTTCACATCATCGAGTTGCTTTCTTTTAAGGAATTTAACGTTGACTCTGGTATGTTGGTACAGATTACCAATGGTACGCTATGTGAAGCTCGGATTGGTGTCAACCCCCCAGCTGGTCTGCATACAACCGGTGGATGCTGTGGAAGTAGAGCTTCGTCTACTTCGTTTACATTAGGCCCAGTGAGGTTAACTAAAGAACTAAGTTTCCGGTTGCTTTTGTCAGAAATTATGTTCCAATCACCAACAATAGCGACGTCCATCTGAAAGTTTGGAGGGTAGATGAGGCCCTGACCGCATTTATTCCAGTCGGAATGGCGGTGGTTGTTTTAGGCGTATTTGGGAAGCTGGTGGTTTTGACTTCAAAAGCAACATGGGACGCATTGTTAATGCTCTGCCCAGCATTCTCCCGCTGTTTTGGAGCGGAGCCTAATGGAAAGAGCTGGGGTATTCTCACAGTCAAACTTTCCTCAAATGAATCAACTTTGGTTTTCCTCATTCCTTTACTCATTGCCACCAGTCTTTCTTGTTGCCACGTGTCACGTATGCACTTGAGTATCGATTGGTAAACACAGAGCCTCATATGATTGGTTGGGAATGACCTTGTCTTACTTTCATTATTTCATTGGTTTTCCTTTCCGGTTTTTCTAGCCAATGCAATGCAAAATGGTTTTAGTAAATCGGTTCCATACTGCACATGCGCGTTCTGTTCCGTTTATCGGCTAAGGTTCATATTTAACATTCTGGCGACGAGCTTAAACTAATGCGATGTTGCACCTCCCTACACTACTTTGGAAGATTCTTTCTGAGAAATCAACACCGGCTACCTGGAACCGCGTTTTGTTGGATTATTTGTAGATACTACCCGTCTTGCAACCAAACGCGGTTCCGTCAGAGCCACAAAATTAAATTATTGTGACACCTCTGGGGGATGAAGACCTAAGACATTTTGATACCTTCCATGTCGGTGAGAAGGAGACAGTCAACAGCGCGATAGAATTCCTCAGCTGGTTATGGGGTTCACAAATGACCACATACACTGCGCGGGTTTCTTTAACGATCTTGTGTTAAAACCCTGAAGGGAGTGTCGTTGATTCCATTGCGCGGATTCAGTAAGCCCTACCAGAGTGTCGGTAGAGTGAAATTCCAGTTTCGAAATCCGAAGAGGCGATGGCTATACAGTGCATGATATCCGGTATCTGTAGCGGACAGACTTGTGAAAGGTTGCCGTCGAAAGATGAGATGACGATGAGAAGGGAGAAGGCCTACAGTATTGTTCGACGGTTGGAAAATGTTCATAGACACTTAGTATCTTTTTCCTTGTAACCTCATACAGACAAAATCCAAGCAGTTCATCAACAAGATGTTGCCCAG